AAAAAAAAAAAAAAAAAAAAAAAATGCACTACTACCGGGGGCGAGGCCCGACAAGCAAAGACGATTGGATTAAGCGCCTGAATCTGGACGTGCTTAAGGCACTGATAGGCAGAGATGGAGGACAGCAGATCAATCGCGCATTTATGCACCTCACCACAAACAAATCCAGACGCATGGGTTAAACGCAGTCCTCTTTGCTACTGGTGGGACCTCGCTCACCGTTTATCAAACAGCCATTATTATTATTATTATTTATTTATTTTTTTATTTTTTTATTTTTTTTTTGCGAACGAAGAAAATCTACGAGATAACAGTGACTGGCCCATCGAAGAAGCTCGGTCCTGATGCTACCGGCTGACCCCTGCTGTAGCAGGTATCGCACCTGCTGATGGGTGCAGCTCCGGCATGTTCCCGGGGACCGGAGGGAGGCAGAGTGACTGGCCCATCGAAGAAGAACCTCGGTGGCTGTCTCTTATACACATCTAGATGTGTATAAGAGACAGGTCTTACCTGTCATCCCCCGAGCACAACGCACCCTCATCATGACTGCACCCGACGGGTAACATTGCCTGTATGACTGTACTGGGGCGGACCGGTAAGTATGACTGTAACATTGGTTGTATGACTGTCCCGGACCGGTAACATTGCCTGTATGCACTGCCTGTATGCGGTCGTGATGAGGGTGCGTTGTGCTCGGGGATGGGAGATTGCAGGTTTGAAAATTCTATCTGCGAGGAACGGTGGACGCCTCGCCGATGGAAGCCGATCGCCCCCCAACTCCAGATCCAGGGCCTCGCTCCACTACTCTCGAAATGTGCAAAACGAGAGTGAATCTTCCGCTAGAATATGGAAAGATACACCGCCAATATTTTTGTCTTTTGTGCATGTCGAGAGTAGTGCAGCGAGGCCTCCAATCTGACTGTTGATCTAACTCAAGTCAACGTCGCCCACACTTGTGCTAACTCAGGTCAACAAAAAGCATGGCGGATCACTCAGGGGTCAAGTCACACTAGCAGCGTTGAGTTTCCTCAACTCCTGAATCTGGGCGTCTTTGTGGAGGTGTGCGGTTGAGGAAACTCGACGCGATTTTTTGCACCTCTCCACGAACACGTCCACATCCAGGCGTTGAGGAAACTCAACGCTGCTGCATGCAGTAGTGGGACCTGACCTCCGGTCAAGTCCACCTACGCTCGTTCAGCTGAGTTTGCTCAGCGGTGAGTCGGTGACACAAGCTTCGCACGACTCAAAATAATTTCAAAGGCAAATCGTCTTGTTCTCGTCGTCAGTGGTATAGGCACGTTAGCGAATACCAAGGGCGATATGTGTGTGTGTGTAGTTTATTTCAAAAGCGAAAAAAGAGAGAGAAAAAGGAGGTCCGGCCTTCGAGTTGAATTATGAAATCGTCACGCACCTGAAGGACCCAGGGATTATCGAGTGGATCAAGAAACACATGCATAGATGGCAGGACTCGAAGGATCTCTTTGATAACGAAGAACAATGGGCGGATACAGGACTCAACATGGTACAAGACGCCCTAAACGTTTTCTCACAAATAAAAGCAGGTAACCGAATTATTAAAGAAAATGAAATCAAAAGTAAAATTTGACAAGCTGAGGCAAACCTTGGCAAAGATCCGTACGCAGATTTTTACTGGTCCAAGGAACGAAGAAAACGGCTACAAGAATTAGAAAACTTAGAGATTCAACGCCAAGAGCAATGGCTTGAATGGTTGAAAATCAGGGGAGTTATGGGGTTTGATAGAATGACCAAAGTGACCTTCAAGTCGCTCGCTCCTCTCAAGAAATAGCAGGCCAGTAATGCGCGAATTGACACACCCATTCAGCTCCCAAATCCCAACTGCCACAACCACGGTGGACATGTGTTCACACGCGGCGGATTATTTCAAAGATTTCCTTACCTCAAGAAGACCAAACGAAAAAAAAAAAAAAAAAAAAAAAAAAAAAAAAAAAAAAAAAAAAAAAAAAAAAAAAAAAAGAATTATGAAATCGAAATCGAATTCTGAGGGGAAAAAAAAAAGAAGAAAAGAAGAAGACCTCTGACATCATATGAGAGAAAAGCGGCGCGAAGCTTGAGCAGCGCACGGCAGACTCTGACAAGCCCATAGCCCCTTTTTTTTTTCTTTTCTTTTTTTTCCTTAATAAAAAAATTGGACTACTTCTTGATTTATGCGTGTCATCCTTGAAAGCGCTGTATCGTTCCAAGGACGACACGCCCATAGTTTTGAAACGAGGCAGGAAAAAAAAAAAAAAAAAAACGAGGCAGGCCGCAGATGGAGAAGAGGTAAATCTGCAGCTTGGTTGAGGGGGGGCCTGCGCATGAGCATCGTATGCCTTTTATAAAAAGAAAAGTAATAATAATAAATCTGCAGCTTGCTTGAGCCGGGGTTTGGCATGCTGCGGGGTGTGGGGGGGGAGGGGGGGGGAGAGCGGAAGGGGGTGCGCGGGTGGGTGGGGATCGGTAGGCGCGCTGGCTCTTCCAA